CTCTGTGATGGGGTTGTGCTGTCCTCTCACTGGCTGCCCCATCCTCTGTCCTCTTGTCCTCCTTGCTCCCCCCACCCATCCTGATCCCTGGTCGCCTCACTTGGAAGGAGCATCCTTGGACTCACTGGGCACAGGGAGGTCACCTGAGTCCATCCCAGGGTCTGGCTCGTGTCTGTGGCCTCTGTGCCCAAGGCCCTGTTCCTAGTCCACTGCAGCCTGGCTGAGCCAGGATTCCTGTCTGCAGAAGCCCTCCCTGGGCCCAGGTGGACACTTCCTCCACCCCTCCTCGGGACCAGGGGCCGGTGAGGGCACTGGACTCCTGTGGGGGTGGAAGAGAGGCACGATCAACGAGCCTTCTGGGGCAGTGTACCCAAGGATGACCCACTTACTTGGACGACAGACTAACAGGCCATCCTGTCCTGGGGTCATGCCACCATGGGTGTTGAATCCTGGTGTCCCCATCTCATGGATAGAAACAGTGCAGAGCTCAGGCACAGGGTGGGGTCCAGAGCCTCCCCCATTCCAGCACTGCCCAGATGGACAGGCACCAGTGCCTGCTCTTCCACACACAGGCCATTTGAATGGTGCGATGGGTATAAAAGAGAAAGCCACCAGGGAGGTCTGCCTGGAGGAAGTGATGATCAGTGAGCCTGAGGGCCTGACACGTCATCAGGGAAGGGAGCAGGAACATTCTAGTGGAGCAGGGAGGCTGTCAAGTTGTGTCTGCTGCGGGCCCCCTATCCTGTCAGGCAGCCTTGCCCCGCCAAGAGACTTCTAAACAGCCAATTATCCCGAAGTGCATGCAATTGACCGGCATGGACTACAGCCCACCTTGTCAATACTGCTCACGGCTGCGTCCCTCGCCCGCCTCACTGCTCCATCCCTCGGATGGTGTCATTAGGGCTAATTGCTCTGACATTCAGCACTGACAGGAATGAGGCCTCTCATCTGTCTGGGTGCGGGCTCTTCCTGTTCCTAAGCTCCTGGCTTGGAGGTGGAGGAGGCTAAGGGCAGGCTAGGGGGTGAGGTTGGGGTGCCAACTGGAGGGTGAGGCTAGGGGAGGCTGGGGGGTGGGCTGAGAGGACGGGTTGGGGGTGGGCTGGGGGTGCAGGCTGGGTGCAGGCTAGGGGTAGGGCTGGGAGACTGAGGTAGGGAGTGAGGGTGAGGGGGGCTGCGCACGCTGAGCCTTGCTTAGAGCTGCCCCCCTAATGGGTGGATATGCTCTTGGGGTGAAATGAGGGCCTCACTGTCCTTGGCTCATCAGGGGTCAGAAAGCGCCCAGGAGTATAGGGCCTGAAGTGTGTGCAAATGTGTGTAAACTTACCTCCGTGTTAGTGCATGAGTGTGCAAACTGGTCTGTGTGTGATGGGGTGAATGTATGTGTGGTTGGAAGTGTGTAAGGGTGCAATTGTGTGTGTGTGCATGTCTGTGGTAGAAACCCATTAGTCTGTGAAAGTGTCTAAGTGTATCCATATCTGCACGAGTGTGTCTGGGTGAGTGTGTGTGTGAACATAGGGATGTGTTTGTGTGAGTGTGCATTCTTGAGCACTGTGTGAACATGTGATTGTGGGTGTCTGAGTGAGTCTCTGTGTGAGTGTAGGTGAGTGTAAATGTATGCATGTGTGTGTGTGTGTGTGTGTGTGTGTGTGCACGGTGTGAACATGTTGATGTGCTGTATGCATGTTCTGAGTGTGTCCATGTGTCTTCTCACTGTGGGTGTAACTGTGACTGTGTGTGTGTGTCTACATGACAGCGAGGCTGTGACTGTGTCAGTTCGTGCGTGTAGATGTTCGAGCACATGAGTGTGAGTACCACACTGTTCTGTCACACAGGACCTTGCATTTGGGCTCAGATGATGTCTGCAAAGAGTGATGGACACTTGGTATGACCTCTGATCCTGGATCGCTGGGGCCTGTCCACTCTGCTCTGTGCCTACTCAGATAGGTGAATGGTGAAGTTCAAATGGGAGCTGTGCATGGCTAGGCTGCCAAGACTGGGCTGAGACAGGAAAGGCTGCCTGAGCCCTGTGTACACCACAGTAAGGCCAAGGCCAAGGCCAAGACTAGGTCACCTCGAACAAAAGGACAGGCCCTGAGACAACCTGGGGACCCAGACCAGCTGTGTCTGGGGTTGGGACCTCCACTTCAGTGCCCGCTTCTCAGCGGGGGAGGGTAGGAAGGGGTGCTCCAGGCAGGAGCCCTGAGGTCCACTAAAGGGCCCCAGATGCATCCTGTGGGCTTGGCTGGGTATAGGCAGCACTACCTCAGGAGTCGCTGTCGTTATGAGCTGTTAGGCCTGTGAGGCTTCTTGAGGGAGGAGGCATGAAGGGTGGAGGGAGGAAGAGAGAAGGGAGGAGGTTAGGATAGAAGAGGGAGGAGGGAAAAGATAAGGAGGGAAGAAGGAGGAGAAAGGATGGAAGGAGAGAGGAGACATGGAAGGAAGAGGCAAAGAGGAGGCGGGAGGAGGGAGAAGGGAAGAGGAGAGGAGAGGGAGGAGAGGAGGTGAGAAGAAAGGACAAAAGTGAGGAGAAAGGAGAAGAGGAGAGAGGGGGAGGAGGGAGGAGTGCGGAGACAGGAGAGAAGAGGCAACAGGGAGGAGGGAGAAGGTGCTAAGCGAGGAGGTGAGGAGGGAGGAAGGAGGAGGAGG